TTTTTAATCATTTCACAGCAAGCAAGGCAATGAAGCCACTAAGACGCAAGAGGTTACTGAGTGTTAGAAAATATGAGAAAAATAGTATCTGTCTATATTTCTGAAATTAGGTATTATGTACATTATTTACATTATTCGGACTATTGTCCTCATCTTTATCGCCATATTTATTACAACATTTCGGTCGTTATACGCTCCGGCCTTCTTCAGGTGGTTGGAATGTCGAACTGAACCCTTTATTTCGCTCACTGGGGTAGACTGTTTTAGTTCCACGTGGCATGTTTTAATGGATGTCAGTTATCAGTTATCTCCTGTTAATTTCCCTCTGAAAGTTCTCCATTGCCTTAACTGGGTATTGAACTCACACTCTTTGGGTCCTGTCACTGGATCTAACTAACGCCTTCATCCATTGTGCCATGTGTCCTCAAGGACAGATCAAGTGACAGGACCCAAAGAGAAAGATCCTATTGTTACGGACGGCTAATTTGTTTGCGAGTTTAGTCGAAAGAGTGTTGGAGTGCAAGATTATGAGTTTAATTTGGGCGAGTACTAGATTGGAGGTCAGGTTTTATCATTTCACATTTGAAATGTCTAGACGTGACCGTAAGTTCTATGCTAACAGTTTCCTCTACCGCACTTCTTGCTTGTGGAACTCACTTCCGGTTTCTCGCTTTCCAGTCAACTTTGATCTTCAGAAGTTTTAGTGCAATGTCAATCGTTATCTTCTGTCTTTTTTTTATTATTATTGTTCCTTAATAGTGTTTTTTTCCTCATATACTCTAACCCTTTGCATCTTAGTGGCTTTATTGCCTTGTTTCGGGTGAAATGATAAAAAAAGTAAAATAATATGGATTTTCTTATAGTTGGTTCACATATTTGAATAATTTAGTAAATTTATGAATAAAAATTGTTTTCATATTTATTTCTTTATAAATTGATAAATGATAAATATTACATTGCATTAGTTCTAATGTTAATAATTCAAATTTTATTAGTTTTCTAATCTAATCAATAAATAGTGTCTAATATTTTAGATTTAAATTCTCAAGAGAAAAAAAAAAGATGTAAAAATTCACTTTCATAATATGTTTAGGTTTTATTACAATTGTAATAAATAATCACTTTTTAAATCGATAAACATTGCCTAGGAATGAAATTAGTTAAAATAATAGCAGTCTCAATGGAAAAATGTCTACCAAATTTATGTCGTTTACATTGTTTTAAAACACAACATTTACATAGTATTTATAGTAAACGAAGAGTTATCTTCACATCAAAAAGCAAAAGATCTTTCGGTGAAAATAAACTTACCTTAGAAGAAACAAACACATGTTAGAGACTAGTAGCTATGTACGTCGGCTGAAAAGTTCAAGATACTCTCATGGAATGTGATCAAATAAGGTTTATTTTTCAACATAGTCCCCCTTGTGATCAACCCATTTCTTCCATCAGTGTTGCACTAATTGGATCCCATTGGTGAAGAAGTTTTCATCCTGTTGGTAAAAAATAAAATCAACAGCAGATATGATGTCATCATTACTGCAATACTAGTTCCCAACCAAGTGTTTTTTCATGTTGGTGAACAGATGATAGCCAGATGGGGCCAAATCAGGAGAATAGTGAAGGTGATCAACCAGTTCAAAGCCACAGTTATGTACAACAGCCATTGAAACCAAGGACTTGTGTGCTGGAGCATTGTCCTGATAAAACATAACTCTTTTCATTAGTTTTCATGGGCATATGATTTTTGATAGCCTTTAGCCTTTTGTAACTACCTCAGCAAGTTGGCATAGTACTCTCCATTGATCATGTGGCCCTTTTGAAGATAGTTAATAAACACAGTGCATCCCAAAAAGTAAGGCTATCACCTTCTCTGCCGATGAAATGGCCTTTTCCTTCTTTGGAGCAGATAAGGAGAGGTGTTTCCACTGCATAGACTGTCTCTTTGTCTCTGGTTCAAAGTGATGGAACCAATACTCATCTTGAGTTAGGAAACATTGAAAGAAACCAGTTGGATTTGCCTCAAACAATGTCCGTTTTTCCCATGATGTGATCAGCCTGATGTGTTTTTGATCAGGTGTCAGAAGATATGACATCCACCAAACAGAAACCTTTGTTATGCCAGTTCATCTCAACTCTCTCACATGATATGCTAATAGCATTGGCTATTTGATTTATAGTTAATTGCCTGCTCTTCATCACCATGTGTTGAACATGATCAATGTTTTTCTCAGTGGTAGCAGTTACAGGATGAAATGGCCTTTTCCTTCTTTGGAGCAGATAAGGAGAGGGGTTTCCACTGCATAGATTGTCTCTGGCTCAAAGTGATGAAACCAACACTCATCAGTGTAATGGGATCTGTGCATGTATGAGGGTTAGCTGAAAAGTTCATAGGCTGACCAAGATACTCTCATGGAATGTGATCAAATAAGGTTTATTTTTCAACATAGTCCCCCTTACGATCAACACATTTCTTCCATCAGTGTTGCAGTACTTGGTTCCCTTTGACGAAGAAACTTTCATTCCTGTTGGTCAAAAAAGTTATCAACTGTAGATTTGACGTCATCATCACTGCAATATTGGTTCCCAGCCATCTGTGTTTTCATCTTAGGAACAGATGATGGGGCCAAATCAGGAGAATAGGGAGGGTGGTCAACAAGTTCAAGGCCACAATCATGCACAGCAGCCATTGAAAACAAGGACTTTTGTGCTAGAGCATTGACTTGATAAAACAAGGCACCTATCGTTAATTTTCCCAGAGCGTTTGGTCTTGACAGCCTTTCATAACTGCCTTATCAATTTGGCATAGTACACTTCATTGATGGTGTGGGCCTTTTTAAAGATAAGTCGATAGGCTCAATGCCTTTTAAATCACAAAAATTTGACGCCATCATTTTCTCTGCAGATGAACCAACCATGTCCTTCTTTTGAGCCGGTTAGGAATTGTGTTACAACTGCATGGATTGTCTCTTTGTCTCCGCCTCAAAGTCATGAACTCAACGCTCATACTGAGTTAGGAAACGTTCAAAGAAACTGTCTGGATCTGTCTTCAACAGTGTCAGGCTTGTTCATCGTCCTAGGTATGACGATAAACTACATCTACGTCCTGGGTAAGACGATAAACTACGCCCATTAGCAAGAACTCTGATCAGGAGGTTCCTAGGTCCACCCTGACCTGAGGTGGTAGAACGTGTTAGGGTCCCAGCTGTGGGACAATAGGTAACACCCAAACTGGGGTCAAAACACTATGAAAGTGTAAAAATAAGTTTTAATACCAGCAATAAATTTTTGAAGAAAAATTACGATCAGTAATACATTATTACCCGAAATACCTTTTGAAAAAAACAAATTACCAGCTATACATTAAAAAAAATACCAGCAATACATTTTTGAAAAGAAAATATATTACCAGCAATAAAAATCTTGTCGGTATTAGATAAACCAATTGAGGTTGATATGCCGTAAAACAAAACAAAACTATACATTTCTGAAAAAAATATTACCAGTTATACATTTTTGAAGGGAAAAAATTACCAGCGATACATTTATGAAGAAAAATATTACCGGCAATAAAATGTCGGCATTAAATAACCCATTGTAATTGAAATGTCATAAAACAAAACGAAGCAAAGCAATCAGGCTAATTCACTTTTGATCAGGTGTCAGAAGACGTGACACCCACAGAGCAGAAACCTTCGTCGTACCAAGCTCATTGTTTAGAATATTCTCAACTCTCTCATGGGATATCCTAATAGCATTGGCTATTTGATGTATAGTCAACTACCTGACATCTATCACCAGGTTGTTGTGTGATGTTCAAGCCTCTCCCTTCATCTCCTAAATTCAGATTCCCATTTTGTATTGTTGAGAAATCTGGAGTGTCATATCCTAATGTAGCAACCATGTCAGCAAGAATGCCCTTGGGGGTTAAACTCTTTCTCTGTAAAAACATTTTAACACCACGATATCAAATTTTGTCCATTTTCACTACTCTACTCGCTACTAGTTACTTTTGAAGTCTTCTTTGAACAGCTAGATACCAGTTAGCATCCTCAAATGTCTCGAAGACTACAAGTATCTAGGATCACACATCAAGAACTCTGAGAAAGACTTCAACATTAGAAAAGGTATAGCATGGACTGCTTGTAACAAAATGGATAAGATCTGGAAATCCAATCTTGCTCGTCAATTTAAAATCCAACTTTTCCGCGTACTTATTGAACCAATCTTACTCTATGGCTCTGAAACTTGGACTCTCTCAGCAAAACAACAGCGTCGTTTAGATGGATGTTATACACGTCTTTTAAGAAGAGTGCTTAATCTCTCATGGCGAAAACACCCAACTCTAGAAATGATATATGGTGACTTGCCGAGAGTATCAACCTTAGTTTGCAAAAGACGTGTCCAGTTCGCTGGGCATTGTGCACGTGCCACAGATGAACTTGTTTCATCATTTGTACTCTGGAGGCACCCATCATCTGTCAATCGATCACGCAAGTTAACCTTTCCAGATAGGATAAAACGAGACACATTGATCCCTAAGGAAGATCTTTTAGGTGCCATGACAGATAGAGAATACTGGAGAGGTGTAGTGAGTTCAATCTCGGCTGAGGCCGCAAGATGATGATGAAGAAGAATTGAAATTAATCTATGCAAGATTTCACAGCTCTAGCATCATTCCATCATAGTCAGCCTATGAACTTTTCAGCTCACTCTCATAAAAGAGATGCGTCTGTCAAACCATTGTGACAAAATCCTTAAAAAATGCTAAATCAGGAAGCTCTGGGGCACTTCGGACTGGGATAATGTTTAGCGAGAGTTGTCTGCTTGACCGTTGCACTAAATAGAGCTTGGTTCTTACCGGGCGCCTCATACAAAGTTTGACATTAAATTATCCATAGAAAGGTAAAAAAAAAAAAAAGAAAGGCGCAAAATCAACGAAACGAACTAACTGGACGGTGAAATTATTTTTTACAAGGCCCAAGAGCTACCCAAGTTAGAGTGTTACTGAATTATTATTATTATTATTATTATTATTTCTTCTTCTTCTTCTTCTTCTTCTTCTTCTTCTTCTTCTCTTCCTCCTCATTCTTCTTCTTATCCTCCTCCACCTCTTCCTTCTTCATCTTTTTCTTCTTCTTCGTCTATTTCTTCTCCTCCTCTCCTCCCGTTCTTCTCCTCCTACCCCTCCATCATCATCTTCTTCTCCTCCTCCTTCCCTCCCCTTCTTCTCCTTCTTCTCCTCCTCCTCATTCTTCTTCTTATCCTCCTCCACCTCTTCCTTCTTCATCTTTTTCTTCTTCTTCGTCTATTTCTTCTCCTCCTCTCCTCCCGTTCTTTTCCTCCTCCCCCTCCTTCATCATCATCATCTTCTTCTCCTCCTTCCCTCCCTTTATCTTTTTCTTCTTCTTCTCCTCCTTTTTCTTATCCTCCTCCTTCTTTTCCTCCTCATTCTTCTTATCCTCCTCCTCCTCCTCCTTCTTCTTCCCTCCCCTCCTCTTCTTCCTCCTTCTTCTACTTCTTCCCTCCCCCTTCTTTTCCTCCTCCTCCTCCCCTTTCTTCTTCTTTGTGCCACGGCCCTTCCTGTCCTGTGTACCCCACAGTTAATTTTCCCTTTTTGCTACATCACCTAATCCCTGTTCTGCAAACCATCTGCATAAGCTCGGTAGGTACGTTATACGCTACTTTCTTCCGTTCCTTTTGCCTCTTGTGAGTATCAAATTTTGGAAGCCCTCTTTCCTCATTATGTGCATCGAACTGTCAAATATCTCTTTCAGATGTGACATACAAGTGTTCTGTTTGTTTCTCTTTTCTATCAAATGTCATCGGATATCACGTGTTCAATCCACGCTATACTCAGCATCCTACTGTAGAACCACATTTCTGTTGCCTCAAGTCCATCTGTGATGAAATTGTTCAGCATTTGCTGCCATATAAAAGTACTGATATTACATAACAGTTCAGTATTCTTTTCTTTGTTTCTGTTGCTTCAAGTCTCTTCTTCGTCTGTGAAGAGGTGTTTTTGTTTGTTTCCAATTATTTTTTCCCGTTCCTTAATACTTTGCTTAAATTTTGAAAGGCATCTTTCGCTATTCCAATTCTCCTACAGATTTCAATGTTGCATTTTCCATCTTCTATTGAAACAGTTCTTAGATATCTAAATTGTTGTACTTGCTTGATTCGGCTATCCCCAATTTGTAATTCGCCGGTTGGGCTGCCCCTTTTGCTAACAAACATTCTGTCTTCTTACGGCTGATGTTCCGTTATTTCTTCTGTGGGAGTTCATATAATTTCCTTTCTGCGTCTACTATCAACACAGTGTCATCTGCATATCTTAGTGGCCAAGAATACCGAATCCTAGTAGGACTTTTATTCTCTCAGGTTGGACAATGTCTTCACAGATGTAACCGAGGCTTGCGACATTAAAGATAAGGTCCTATGGAGAGAGGGTGAGAAAACCGTGCTGGGAATATCTTATAGACAGAGTTATAAAAACATTATTTTAGAAAATTAGGTGGACTGAAAGATAAGCAAGGTATTGAGAAGAAATTTGTTAAAAACAAAAAAAGGGGGTATCTGGATTGCTATGTGATATCCATCCTCTTATATGGCAGTAAATGCTGGACAATGTCCACACGGATGAGGAGAAAAAATATGGTTCTACAGAAGGTTACTGAAAATTCCATGGACGGAGCGAATAAGCAGCAAGGAAGTATTTTAAAAATGGCAACAAAAAGAACACTTCTACTTAGAACCAGGAAAAGGTAACTGATATTCTTTGGCTATATAATAAGAAAGGAGGGCTTGGAAAATTTAACTCCCACGTTGCATGTTGAGGGCAAGGAAGATCGTGGGTGGCAGCGAGTCACGTAGCTGATGAGCATGTGTCAATGGATGACGGAACGGTTTAGTAAAGGGAGAAAACCGCTAACAGCCACACGAGATAGGAACTACAGAACATCCGATACTGGATGGTAGAAGAAAGCGGGAAAAAAGGACTAACCATCAACTCCAAGAAGACAGAATCAGCAAGAGAAAAAGGCCCAAGATGCAAGCTACGAATTGAAGATATAAACATCAAGAAGTTGCAGAAGTACAAATATCTGGGAAACAGAGGATGAAAAAATGAACTGGACTAGCGAAAGGGAATTAAGCAAAGAAAAAAGAACTGAGAAACGGAAAAAGAATTCATTAGAAAGAAAGAAAAGAGTGCAGGATTATTATGTGTCATCCATCCTCTTATATGGTAGTGAATGTTGAACAATTTCCCTAAAGATGGGGTGGGGGAGAGAAACTAGAAGCAGCAGACGCCATCCTAAAGGAACTGGCGACCCTACCAAGATTTATGAGCATAATGTTAACAATACAAGATATGCAGAGTTGATAGCCGACTGAGAAAGGAACCTACAGGACCTCCGAGACAAGGTGGTAGAAGAAAGCGGGATAAAAGGACTAACCATCAACTTCAAGAAGACAGAATCAGCAAGAGAAAAAGGCCAAAGGTGCAAGCTACGGATTGGAGATATAAACATCAAGCAGGTGCAGAAGTACAAATATCTGCGAAGTGTTTTTAAAAGAGGATGGAAAACGTGACACCGAAATCCGAATACGTGTAGGACTAGCGAAAGAAGTATTTCAAAAGATAAGCTAGCCGATGAGAAACGGAATAAATTTGTTAAAACCAAAACAAATTGGGCTGGATTGCTATGTGATATCCATTCTCTCATATGGCATTGAATGCTGGACAACCTCCTCACAGATGAGGGAGAAAACTGACAGTAACAGAAATGTGGTCCTACAGAAGGATATTGGGAATTCCATGGACGGAGCGAGTAAGCAAAGAAAATGGCAACAAAAAGAAAACATACTCAGACCAAGGAAAAGACAGCTGAAATTCCACATAACGAGAAACGAGGGCTTGGGAAACTTAACCCTCACGGAGTATACTAAGGGTAAGAGACATAGATGGAGGCAGTGATCGACTGACGAGTTTGTATGAATGGATGGCGGAAATGCTTAACGGGGAAATGCTAAGAGCCAAACAAGATAGGAAGTTGTGGAGAGCCATGATCGGAAAGGACGCGGTGCATAGAAGAAGAAGATAGACTGAAGTGTAGAAGAAAATTATTTAGAAGAAAGAGATGATGAGAAGACATTTTAAAGCTGGAAAATAACGACCTTGAAATAAGAAGGGATATGGAATGGCGTTAAAAGAAAAAAGGGTTCGGGGCGAAGAAAGAGGAGACAAGATAAAAAGAGGAGTAGATAAAGAAGCCAAAAAGAAAGTTAAAAAGAAAGAAAGAAAGAAAGAAAGAAAGAAAGAAAAATACGCTCTTGTGACGTCATAAAATATCTTCCAAGGTGGAATGAAGAAAAAGAGAAAAATAATGTTATGTATGAAGAACAGTTATAATGGGCTTATGTGTGTGTATATCCGTGTGCACACATCGGTGTGAGTATAGTGAAAGTGGAGGGAGGTGCATGTGCATAGATGTGTATTTATGAATTTTTTTAATACTTTGGTATTATGCGAGTACGGGAGTGTATGCAAAAGAGAGATAAAGAGATGAGATTGAGGAACTAAGAAGATGAAAGAGAGAGGAGTAAAAGATGGGAAAACAAATAAATGTCAAAAGAAAGAAAGAGAGACGGAAAACATATCAGCAAAAGAAAGAAAGAAAGAAGGAAGAAAGAAAGAGAGAAGTAAAACAAATCAGCAAAAGAAAGAAAGAAAAAAGAAAGAGAGAGAGAGAGAAGTGAAACATATCAGCAAAAGAAAGAAAGAAAAAAAGAAAGAAAGAGAGAGAGAAGTAAAACATATCAGCAAAAGAAAGAAAAAAATAAAGAAAGAGAGAAGTAAAACATATCAGCAAAAAGAAAGAAAGAAAAAAGAAAGAAAAAAAAGAGAAGTAAAACATATCAGCAAAAGAAAGAAAGAAAAAAGAAAGAGAGAGAGAGAGAAGTAAAACATATCAGCAAAAGAAAGAAAAAAAAGAAAGAAAGAAAGAGAGAAGTAAAACATATCAGCAAAAGAAAGAAAGAAAAAAGAAAGAAAGAAAGAGAGAAGTAAAACATATCAGCAAAAGAAAGAAAAAAAAGAAAGAAAGAGAGAAGTAAAACATATCAGCAAAAGAAAGAAAAAAAAGAAAGAAAGAGAGAAGTAAAACATATCAGCAAAAGAAAGAAAGAAAAAAGAAAGAAAGAAAGAGAGAAGTAAAACATATCAGCAAAAGAAAGAAAGAAAAAAGAAAGAAAGAAAGAGAGAAGTAAAACATATCAGCAAAAAAGAAAGAAAAAAAAAAAGAAAGAGAAGTAAAACATATCAAAAAAGAAAGAAAAAAAAGAAAGAAAGAGCGAAGTAAAACATATCAGCAAAAGAAAGAAAGAAAAAAGAAAGAAAGAAAGAGAGAAGTAAAACATATCAGCAAAAGAAAGAAAGAAAAAAGTAAGAGAGAGAGAGAAGTAAAACATATCAGCAAAAGAAAGAAAAAAAAGAAAGAAAGAGAGAAGTAAAACATATCAGCAAAAGAAAGAAAGAAAAAAGAAAGAAAGAAAGTGAGAAGTAAAACATATCAGCAAAAGAAAGAAAGAAAAAAGAAAGAAAGAAAGAGAGAAGTAAAACATATCAGCAAAAGAAAGAAAAAAAAGAAAGAAAGAGAGAAGTAAAACATATCAGCAAAAGAAAGAAAGAAAAAAGAAAGAAAGAAAGAGAGAAGTAAAACATATCAGCAAAAGAAAGAAAGAAAAAAGAAAGAGAGAGAGAGAGAAGTAAAACATATCAGCAAAAGAAAGAAAAAAAGAAAGAAAGAGAAAAAAAGAAAGAAAGAGAGAAGTAAAACATATCAGCAAAAGAAAGAAAGGAAAAAGAAAGAGAGAGAGAAGTAAAACATATCAGCAAAAGAAAGAAAGAAAAAAAGAAAGAGAGAAGTAAAACATATCAGCAAAAGAAAGAAAGAAAAAAAAAAAGAAAGAAAGAAGTAAAAACATATCAGCAAAAGAAAGAAAGAAAAAAAGAAAGAAAGAAAAGTGAGAAGTAAAACATATCAGCAAAAGAAGAAAAAAAAAAAAGAAAGAAAGAAAGAGAGAAGTAAAAACATATCAGCAAAAAGAAAGAAAAAAAAGAAAGAAAGAGAGAAGTAAAACATATCATCAAAAAGAAAGAAAAAAGAAAGAAAGAGAGAAGTAAAACATATCAGCAAAAGAAAGAAAGAAAAAGAAAGAAAGAAAGAGAGAAGTAAAAACATATCAGCAAAAAGAAAGAAAGAAAAAGAAAGAGAGAGAGAGAGAAGTAAAACGTATCAGCAAAAAAGAAAGAAAAAAAAAGAAAGAAAGAGAGAAGTAAAACATATCAGCAAAAGAAAGAAAAAAAAGAAAGAAAGAGAAGAAAAACATATCAGCAAAAAGAAAGAAAGAAAAAGAAAGAAAGAAAGAGAGAAGTAAAACATATCAGCAAAAAGAAAGAAAAAAAAAGAAAGAAAGAGAGAAGTAAACATATCAGCAAAAAGAAAGAAAGAAAAAGAAAGAAAGAAAGAGAGAAGTAAACATATCAGCAAAAGAAAGAAAGAAAAAAAAGAGAGAGAGAGAGAAGTAAAACATATCAGCAAAAGAAAGAAAGAAAAAAGAAAGAAAGAGAGAAGTAAAAACATATCAAAGAAAAGAAAGAAAGAAAAAAGAAAGAGAAGTAAAAACATATCAGCAAATGAAAGAAAGAAAGAAAGAAAGAAGTAAAACATATCAGCAAAAGAAAGAAAGGAAAAAGAAAGAGGGAGAGAAGTAAAACATATCAGCAAAAGAAAGAAAGAAAATAAGAAAGAGAGAAGTAAAACATATCAGCAAAAGAAAGAAAGAAAAAAAGAAAGAAAGAGAGAAGTAAAACATATCAGCGAAAGAAAGAAAGAAAAAAAGAAAGAGAAGTAAAACATATCAGCAAAAGAAAGAAAGAAAGAAAGAAGTAAAACATATCAGCAAAAGAAAGAAAGGAAAAAGAAAGAGAGAGAAGTAAAACATATCATCAAAAGAAAGAAAGAAAAAAAGAAAGAGAGAAGTAAAACATATCAGCAAAAGAAAGAAAGAAAAAAAGAAAGAAAGAGAGAAGTAAAACATATCAGCAAAAGAAAGAAAGGAAAAAGAAAGAGAGTGAGAAGTAAAACATATCAGCAAAAGAAAGAAAGAAAAAAAGAAAGAGAGAAGTAAAACATATCAGCAAAAGAAAGAAAGAAAAAAAGAAAGAAAGAGAGAAGTAAAACATATCAGCAAAAAAGAAAGAAAGAAAAAAAAAAAGAAAGAGAGAAGCAAAAAACATATCAGCAAAAAGAAAGAAAGGAAAAGAAAAGAGAGAAAGTAAAACATATCAGCAAAAGAAAGAAAGAAAAAAAGAAAGAGAGAAGTAAAACATATCAGCAAAAGAAAGAAAGAAAAAAAGAAAGAAAGAGAGAAGTAAAACATATCAGCAAAAGAAAGAAAGAAAAAAAGAAAGAAAGAGAGAAGTAAAACAAATCAGCAAAAGAAAGAAAGAAAAAAGAAAGAGAGAGAGAAGTAAAACATATCAGCAAAAGAAAGAAAGATAAAAAGAAAAAAAGAGAGAAGTAAAACATATCAGCAAAAGAAAGAAAGAAAAAAAGAAAGAAAGAGAGGAGTAAAACATATCAGCAAAAGAAAAAGAAAAAAGAAAGAGAGAAGTAAAACATGTCAGCAAAAGAAAAAGAAAAAAGAAAGAAAGAGTGAAGTAAAACATATCAGCAAAAGAAAGAAAGAAAAAAGAAAGAAAGAGAGGAGTAAAACATATCAGCAAAAGAAAAAGAAAAAAGAAAGAAAGAGAGAAGTAAAAGATATCAGCAAAAGAAAAAGAAAAAAGAAAGAAAGAGTGAAGTAAAACATATCAGCAAAAGAAAGAAAGAAAAAAAGAAAGAAAGAGAGGAGTAAAACATATCAGCAAAAGAAAGAAAAATCATCAGCGTAAAAGAAAGAATAAAACTAAAAGGAATTAATGAAAGGAAAGATAGAAAAAGGAAAAAAATATAAATAAATAAAGAAAGAAAGAAAGAAAGAAAGGAAACGACAAAGAAAGAGATTAAAGGATAGAAAGAATAAAATGTAAAGAAAGCACGAACAAAAGAAAGAAAGAGAAAATATGAAGAAACGAAAGAAGAAAGAAAGAACGAACGAAAGAAAAGCATATGTAAAGAATGAATGAAAAAGAAAGAAAGAAATATGAAAGAAAGAAAGAAAGAAAGAAAGAAAGAAACTAACAAAAAATACGCAAAGGAAAGACAAACATGCGAAAGGAAGTGACGCAAGACATAAATCTGGAATAAAAAAAAATTAATAAAGAAAGAAATGCAAAAGAAAGAAAGAAATATAAAAGAAACAAAGAAAGAAACAAAGAAATAAAGAAAGAAAGGAAATATATTTAATTTAAAAAAAAAAAAAAAACCGGCGAGAGAGTGAAGAAAGACAAAGATGGAATAGAACGAAATGAAAAAGTTTCTTGGAAAATATCAAAGAAACGAAAAAAGAAAAAAAAAAAACGGCTCGGAAATGGAATGACTGAAGTGAGATGCCCGCCGTAAAAATGATAACATTATCTTTGTTTATAGACTTCTCAAAAGTTGTTCGTTTGTCATTCAGCGGATTTTAAACTGACATTAACAAAACCGTGCGCAACAAGCTCACAAGTCCCTCACCTCACAAAAATGCCAGACCCCTAAACTTTATCAGATGAAGGTCTTTTGTTTTGTGTTTCTTTTTAAGTTTATTAGTTTTGCATATTTTCCCCCTTTTCTTTCTCAATATAGTAAACCTATTTCTCCGTTTCAGACTTCGTCCGAAAAGTACTTTTTGCCGATTTTTCAGTACGTTATAAACATTTCGTTTATTTGGCTTTCAATTTGATGCGTACCTTCTTACGATTTAACGACATTTTACTCTTTTCATTTCTATTTTTCCTTTCGACGTCTTTTCCATTCCGAGTAGAAAGAAAGCTTTACTGAATACCACCTCCAAGAATAAAGGAGAGTCGCTTAAGGCCTTGATCAAACGATCTTCAACAATAAACAATTTAAAATAGCGAAAAATTTGCTTCTTTTTTTTTTTTCTTCCCTCTTGTACTTTTCTAAATTGTAATTCCATCCCCTTTCTTCTATTTGGAATGGTGAAATTATTACTTGTCGTCACCGTAATTACTCGTGTTGGTGCCACACTTTTGTATAGTACGCAGCCATTAAAACAGATTACAAGGTTCTGAATAAAAATAATTTCTCGTACAGAAAAAAAAATGACGTTATAGAGATAACTTGGAAGATGTTCAGTCCTTTAATTTGGTGAGGTTTACGTTGAAAAACCGATTCTCGTACGATCACCGAAGTTAAGAAACGTCGAGCGTGGTCAGAATCTAGATGGGTGACTGCTTGTGAATACAAGATGTTACAAGTTTGGAAATGCTGCCTTATAAAGTAAATACGGCTATATCATGTTGAAAAACAGATTCTTGAATGATCACCGATGATAAGAAACGTCGAGATCTAGATGGGTGACCGCTTTGGAATACAAGATGTTGTAAGTTTGGAAATGTCGTCGTATAAAGTGCATACGGCTATATCATGTAGAAACACAAATTCTCGAATGATCACCGAAGTTAAGAAACGTCGAACCTGGTCAGGATCTAGATGGGTGACCGCTTGTGAATACCAGATGTTTTAAGTTTGGAAATGCTGCCTTATAAAGTACATACGGACATATCAATTTGAAAAAACAGATTCTTGAATGATCACCGAGGTTAAGAAATGTTGAGCCTGGTCAGGATCTAAATGGGTGACCGCTTGTGAATACAAGATGTTGCAAGTTTGGAAGTGCTGCCTTATAAAGTGCATACGGCCATATCATGTTGAAACACAGATTCTTCTGTGATCGCCGATGTTAA